GGAAAGATTCTGCAGGGATAGGGATGAGACCTTTACCGTAATTTTTTGAGTGGACCGGGCGGAGCCGGGTATGTCAGCTAGTTGACCATAAAGTGAAATGAGTTTAGCAGTTTCTTGCCGAATTCTACGTCAAGGATATGTTTCGAAAATTCTCGAATGAATCATAAACCATTGTTTGATGCGTAATTAGTATTCATGACAATTTATTTTCATGACAGGCAATTCGTATGCGTAGAGTAAACTCTGTGAGGAATATCACTGGACGTCAGTGTTGCAACAAGATCACTGTTGATTATAGGTTGAACTTCTCGACAAGGCTTGTAAGCGCAATGTGATCGTGCAACTTGGAACTGGGGCTGGAAAGACGTTTATCGCCGTGCTGCTATTAAAGGAGTATGCTCTTCAAATATTGGCACCGTATGAAAATGGAGGGAAAAGGGCGTTTTTCGTAGTCGACAAGGGTAAGTTAGGGTTTGGAGCATGTTATAGCTTAATATCAGCTTTTATACATTTTTTATTATTATCTGTTTAGTCGCTCTTGTGGACCAACAAGCGGAGCACATCCAGTGTCATACCACCTTGAATGTTGGAAAAATGCATGGTAATCTCAACAGCAATCTCTGGGACAAACAAGACGGGTTCGATGAGTTTATGTCTGTACATAATGTATGTTTCTTCCCCATATTTTTTTGCTTTCAGATTTGGTTGTATCGCTTTTTAGGTAGTTGTTATCACTGCCCAAATTTTCTTGGACTTGATAGATCATGCATATTTCAATATTGCAAGATTAGCTCTAATTATATTTGATGAATGTCACCATGCATTAGGTGTAAAGCATCCATACCGTGTGATAATGGATAGGATTTTGCGAGTTCGAGAAGGTTAGACGCTTTTCCGGTCTGCCACTCTATCACCAAATTTTGATTTTTTCAGAGGATCGACCACGGATTTTGGGGCTTACTGCATCCCTCATCAATGACAAGACTCCTCCTAAGCAGTTAGAGGCTAAACTGTCGAAGCTGGAGTGTGTATTGAACAGCGCTATCGAAACAGCATCGGACTTGGTTGCGGTAAGTTTTGCACGAGATTGTGTTTTTTTCTGTTTTTACATAGCATTTTTCGTTGTTACAAATGTTTTTCTTTCAGCTCTCGAAGTATGGGGCAAAACCAAACGAGTTTGTTGTAGCCTCTGCAGAGTATGATCCCAATAATGCTTGCGGACGTGAAATCTTGAA